AGGGCAGCTCCCATGCCAGGACAGCTCCCACACCAGCACACCTCCCACGCCAGGGCAGCTCTCATGCCAGGACACCTCCCGCGCCAGGACAGGCCCTGTGCCATGACACCTCCCACACAGGGCAGCTCCCATGCCAGGACACCTCCCGTGCCAGCACAGCTCCCACGCAGGGCACCTCCCGCGCCAGGACAGCTCCCACCCCAGGGCACCTCCCACCCCAGGGCACCTCCCACGCCAGGACAGCTCCCACCCCAGGGCACCTCCCACACCAGGACGGCTCCCACACCAGGGCACCTTCCAAGCCAGGACAGAACAGCAGCAGTGTTCTGCGGGGAAGCACGGGCTGGCGCTGGCACGGCTTCATTTTAAAAATGCATCGTTAAACCCCACAAACCACTGGAACCAGGTGCCTATTTGACATGAGCACTCGGCCCAAATCATCACTGTGAAACAGAGATATCCACACCAGCTACATTCTCACTAGAAAGGCAGACGTCATTAAGCCAGAGGCAGCTGAAGCTCCTGCCAGCAGCATTGGTTGGGGGATGCCATTTGGTCAGTCGAGGGCTGTGAAGCTGATGGGACTTGCTATTTGTACCATTTTATACCATGTAAGGAAATTGTATAATTACTTTTGCGACGTCTCCTTCTTAACTTGCCTTCTCATGGTTTGCAACTATAATAAGACAAGGTGTTGATAGAGTACAAACTGTCTTTAAATTTAAAAGGTAAAATTGTACATCCACCTTTAATCAGTGCTAAAATAACACAGATTCAAACCTCCCTTCCCAGGCTGCCTGCCAGAGGATGTGGTCACCCTGCCGCCGACACTGCCTTCACGTGCTCTCCGTAAGCCGTGGGCTTTGCGTGATACAAATCATGGTATCTCATTAGTGAGGCAGCCTCGTCTTGACTCGGGAGCCAGGCCAGCGAGGAACGGCAGCACTGCAAGGCAGTGTCTTAGGGCCTGATGCAGGGGATCTTATCAGCTCAAGTTCCTCCACATTCTTTTTTAAAAAAAATATTTAGAGATGGGGTCTCACTCCATCACCCAAGCTGGAGTGCAGAAGCATGATCACAGGTGACTGCAGCCTGGAACTCCTGGGCTCAAGAGATCCTCCCACCTCAGCCTCCTGTGTGGGGCTACAGGTGCACCACCACACCTGGCTAAGGTTTTTAATTTTTCTGTGGAGATGGGGTCTCACTATGTTGCCCAGCCTGGTCTCAAACTCCTGGACTTAAGCGACCCTCCTCCCTCAGCCTCCCAAAGAGCTGGGATGACAGGCATGAGCCGCCACACCCATCGCCTCCATTCTTTACCCACGATCGCTGCTATACTTCTGACCCCGTGAAATCCTACTCTCCGCTCAAAGCCAAGTAAAGAACACCACTGAAAAGACGTTTCTGCATGAGGGTTTGGCATGACAGCTTTCTGACTCCAGGCATTCCTGGGCTGCACAGAGCCAGTGGAGAGCCTGTGTGAGCAACAGCAGCCAACGACTTACAGATTGCTCAGACTTTAAATGTTGCTCTCACATCCAAATATTCCCACTTCATGTGATCCTGACACAGCCCCATAGAACTAACTATTGGCCCCATCTGACAGAAAAGGCACCCTGAGCTTTGAAAACAGTAAATGAGTCATCCAAAGTCACACAACAAGCAAGTAGCCGAGAGGGTGCTGTGAAGTCAAGTTCTGAACTCCAAGCTCCAGTTCTTCCCACTTCCCTTTCGCCAACCTCAGCTGCCATGAAACAGCACAGAACATCCAGGTGGGGCTGGAGATGCTGGCACCTGACCTAGATCAGTGCCTAATGGATGGAGCACTGCCCTACGGCCAACACAGCGGACACTGCAAAGCAGGAACCAGCCTAGAGTCAGCTGCTTCCATCACCCCCAGCTTCAGTAGGTAAGCAGCCAACTGCTGTGGAGGTGATGGAGCTGCTCACGGTGGGATTTAACTGCT